GTCTCCATCCCATTTCCAATCTTGTATGGAGCCCTATTAGGGAACGCCATGTGGCCGAATGGGATGTTTTTCAATAGGAACAATCTGAGATTTGGGCGGAGAGGTTAAAAGTTAAGGGGATTGCTGTTTATGATCGGATGACCAGAGATTCCTTCCAAAAGCTCCTGCCGAAGAGGCTGACTGAACTGATGGGCGAACTGTCTCATCCGTTTGACCATGACCTTCCGGTAGCACGAGATCAAAATGTACTGTGTAATTATGCAGCTTTATACTACCGAGATACGTGAAGGATGAATTGATCGACATCTATAACCAAACGTTAGTAGGGGGCCAGCTCTCGAAAGGTATGCGAAATGGAATTATCTCACTACTATATAAGAAGGGTAACAGATCAGAGATTAGGAACTGGCTTCCTATCTCTGTGCTAAATGTCTCTTACAAGCTACTTGCAAAAGTTTTGGCCAGACGATTGAGTCGCTACCTCCCCACCTTGGTAGACAAGGACAAAGCGGCCTTCGTTAGAGGCCGCTCGATCTTTGATAATATCGTGGCTGCTATCGAGGCGTTGGAGGTTGTAGAATCCACTAAAGCCGACATTGCAATTTTAATGTTGGATTTAGAAAAAGCCTATGACAGGGTAAATTGGACCTATGTCCTAACCACCTTGAGGCATGTAGGCTTTGGTGATAACTTATGCAAGTGGGTGGTGGCTCTGTACGCAAAGTCAACCGCTGCTGTAATGGTTAATGGCTATAGGTCTGATCTCTTCCCCCTCACTCGCTCCCTCCGACAGGGGTGTCCGCTGACCCCCTTGTTTGTTCTTCAGATGGAAAATCTTTTGTGCAACATCAGAGCACAGTCTCAAATTATAGGCCTGAATACCGGCGCTGCTCAGTGTAAGGTCAAAGCTTTGGCTGATGACCTGTTTGTCATTTCGAGCAATACAGAAACATCCATGAGTTCACTTAAATGGTGTTTAGATGAATACTCTGTTCTCTCGGAAGCCTCTGTTAATTGGTCGAAGTCTGTTTTCATTTTACCGGACCAGTTCACCCCTGTGGTGAATTGCGGCATGAAGAGAATAAAGGCAAGCTCTTCAGAACACTTTCTGGGTGTACAGGTATCCCTTTTGTCATGTTCGGTCGATCAGGAAGGTATCATACTCCAACGCATTTTGCAGAGAGTTTCGACGTGGGGCAAAGCTCCCCATTGATCTATTTATGGTAGGGTCATGGTAACGAACAACGCTCTTTTTGCCCTCTTATGGTTTGTGGCTGCTGTTAGGCGTTTGAGCAAGCATCTGTGCTCCCTGATTAGGGGAAGAACAGCCAAATTCCTTTGGAAACCATTTGCAGGGGATGAGGAAGGTTTTCTATCAAAAGTAGCCTGGGATCTCTTATGTTTCCCTAAATTGGATGGAGGCTTGGGTCTGACTGACCCCCAAAGAAAAAGCTCCGCCATGCTGGTACGTTGGATTATCCGAGCCATATGCGCTCCCGAGGGAGAACATTGGGTAACTCTAGCTGAAACCATACTTGCATTGGAATGGAACTTGAAGAGGCCGGCTGATGTATGGCTCTGCATTTTACTTCGGTCCTATCAGAACAGAGCCATCAAATCAGACTTCTGGAATGCCATCTTGAAAGCCTGGAAGAAACTGTAACCAAATTCTTGGTTTCAACCCTCCACAAAAGTGGTGTTACAGCAACCTCTCTTCGAAAATCCGAATATTCGTAAAGTCGATGGGGATTGGTTTTCGGCGGACTCCTCTCGTCTCAGTTTTGGAAGGAGCTGGATTGAAAAAGGGATCCTGAGAATTGCTGATATATATAATGAAATCGAAAATCAATGGATTTCCCCTTCGTCCCTCAGAAGTACTTTGGGACCAGTCTGGTTCGTGGAGGAAAGGTCAATTGAACTGATCTCGGCTATTCCGGTGCAGTGGGCTCACATCTTGAGCCCAGAGGGTATTGACCCTCCAGGTACCTGGTATACAGATCGGCTGTCGGTTCAACCAACATTTTGGAAATTGACGGGATTTGAGAGTTCTGGGAAAAGAGTGTTTGAAGGCTGGGAAGTTAGGGAACAGGACACCCTAGGTACTCTGTTTTAACTCGATGAAGTCTCTCACCCCCCTCTGAGAGCCAGCCTAACACAGACGAGAGTGTGGGAATGCTGTGATCCCAGGTTGGCTGCAAATCTGTGGCTACTGTCGTTAATGGCTACCCCATCCGTGGTGAATTTGGTTCAAAGAGGGTTGAGGATAGAGATGACTTGCTGTCGCTGTAGCTGGGCTTTCGAGTCCACGTCTCATTTGTGGTACGACTGCCCAGCTTCCAAGCGCATTTGGGATTGGTGGCTGGATTTTTGGAGAAAAATCTCTAATAATGAGTTGGTATGGAACAGGGAATGGGTTCTATTGGGAGGTCTCCCAGACCATATGAACTTGAACAAAGGCTGGGGCTACGTTGCACAATCTGCTCGTGCTGTTGGCTGTGCGGTAATCTGGAAAGAAAGGAATCTTCAGATCTTCCATAACAGAGATATGACAAACAAAGAGATCAGAGTTTCTTCCGCTCCTCTCCATCAGACTATTCAAGCCGACTGGAGAAGGAAGGCTCAGGGAAGAACGACCAAGTGGTTTGGCGAAACATGGGGCCTGGATGGAAAATTGGCCAAGCTTGAAGATGGTAAGTTGAGACTAGATGGGTGGTTTTGGGAAAAGTAGTTAGGTGACTTATACCTGGGCGCTCGGTTTTGATTCACAGGAGGATGGCAGTCTGGCTTGGAAGTGGAAAAAGCGGAAGGAGTGCTACTTTGTAGGGGTCCAAGTGACCATCCCACCGGATTAGGTGGGATTTTAAGCACGAAACAGTGCCAGTGGGTTAGTAATAGGGGCTGAGCACTACGATTAGATAGGTTGTTCCGTTGCAGGCGGATTGGGACTGGAGGCTCATTTGGACCTTCTGCCCCTCTGTCCTTCCCCCCCCCTCTCCCCTCCCCCCCCCTCTCTTACCTCTCGTTGTCTGTTTCTACCCTCCTTGTGGTTTGTTTGGTTTTTGCAGGTCTGTGACATCCTTTTTGGGTGGAGGCTGAGGTTTCAGGACAGAGGTCTAGATTTGGCCCATTCTGTTCCTAGAGTTTTCTCTGCCTTAACGAGCGCTGCTCGTAAGCTAAACTGGCTGAAGCTGCCAGGATAACTCCGGGTTCAATTGTGAGGTTAATGGTTTCTGGGCAAAAAAAAAAAAAAAAAAAAAAAAAAA